CCAGCTACACACCACCAGGATCACCAACAAGCTACACACCACCAGACTCGCCTCCTGGATCCTACTCACTTGATCTTTCACGCAGAAGACTCTGGGGATCTAAGAAATATACTCAGACAAGACCGACAATCTCTTATAGAGAACGAATTATATAGTTTTTGACATAAACGGCCCTTTTCAGGGCCAACGAATTTATAGAAAGTTAAATAAATTATAAAAAAACGAACACGCTACTATAATCCCTTCATGTGTGTATTTAATTTGATCGATGGATTTTCATTTGTATAATATTGTTTATTAAATAAAATTTTAAATATGGTATTCTTATAATTAACTTAATCCTACTAATCAATATTATAAGCTAAAAATAAACATTTCTTAAATATATTGCTCATAAAAAGGTTTAGAGTCATTTTTATAGTTATAACCTCATGATGTTCAAACACTGGGTCAGCTTTGTTCAACCATTAGGACAAGTACGTTTTGATCGTTTAAATACTGGGACTTTTACATAATTCAAGATTTTATTATATTTCTGTATAATAAAATTAATCAAAATTGTATATATGCTTTTTAAATAGTAAAAATATTAATTTACACGATAAATAGAAATTCTCAAGAATATTTCACGTTTTTATATATTGAAAATATTAATAAATGGATGTGTATCCTTAATCGTTCAATCATTGGGACATTTACCTTACAGATTTTCTCATATTCTGGATAATCCAACTAAACACACTTCCAATAATATTACGCAACATAAATTTATGAGAAAAGGAATGATAAGCGCATAAAAAGTAACGCAAAAAGAATTCATTTATACATACTGTAACGTCCGCCTGTCAGAAATCAGCTGACAGGCAGACGTCACTATAGCGATAGATCGCATATACTATAGCGCTACCGCCGATCGCGCTCGCGCGCCGTCTTTCTTTTCTCCACCACGCGCCTTGCGCGTGAGCCTTGCGCGTGAGCCTTGCGCCGCTAAGAAAATTTCTCAAATGCATCGTCCAAAGAGAAATTATCATGATGTGTTGGAATCGGATTCCAACACGTAAATACGAGGTCGTCTGAAAAGTTTTGAGCCTAACATAGAAACAAGTAATTTTTCGGTCAAATTGAATTTGATTTTTCCACATAGACCTTTTGAGTCGATACATTTTTTCCAGCTATGCTCCCACCCCTTTAATCCATTCAAATAATACTGAACGTTTTGCTTTGCAAAAGAGGCGTCTACAGATGCGATGACCTCCTCGTTCGATGAAAATTT